GGGGGGGGGGGGGGGGGGGGGGGGGGTATCTTATGTAGCCCGGGTGACAAAGTGCAGCTCGCAGGAGGCGTAAAGCGTGTGATAAACCAGGGGGTGTGATAGCACGTCCGAACACCCACAGGGTGCGGTTAGGGGTGTGATAATGAGGTGGCGTGAAAATAGTGCGTGTAGAGTTGAAGCGCTGCTGCCGCACACTTGGAGAGTGCGGTCTTGCGGGGATGTGATAGCAATGCCTGAACAAAGACTTCCCGCTTCCCCGCTTAGGAAGGTACACAGGTAATGTGGTAGAAAGGGGATGTGGTATGAAAGAACGAGTCGACCTGTTGTGGCGCCTGTACTGCTGCGGTCGAAGCAGTTGTGGAAGAAGCGGAGGTACTAGCGGCAGCCTTCTGCTCTCCCTGCACGTTCATGTTGTTGGAGGTCTCCATGCGGGGTGGTTTCCCCGCACGAAGATGTTTGGTGTTGTGTGTAGTGCCCACGGGCCAAATGCTGTATCACCCAAGGCGATACAAGGAGGGGCCCCGTAAATGTTTTGCGGTAATATCACCGGGCTGTGTTATCTTATGTAGCCCGCGTGATGAATCGCTGTATTGAAAAATGTACAAAAATATCACCGGGGTATGGTTTTCTGCGGGATGTGTGGTTTCTTATGTGGGTGTTATCTTGTGTAGATTACGGTATCATATGTTTTAGGAACTGCAAGAACAAACGCGTTTTTTGGGGGGGGAGGGGACAGGGGGGCGGGCTCTAAAGACGATTCAAAAGGGGGCCAGTTCAACCCTTCAGCGCAGCCGCTGTGCACCCCCCCCGCCCGTAGATAAGCTCTTAAGCACTGAGCATGGCAGAAAGCACTGGCCCCGTGTCTAAGCGCGCCCGCAAGTCGTCTCCGGGGCACGAAGACGGGTGCGAGAAAGAAGGTGTGCGTGTTTGTGCGGACCCTGCAGACACGACGCGGGAGGGAGACCACACTCATGAAGAAAACGGCACCTCAGCGAAAGCTGCGCGCGGGAAAGCGCCCTCAATGACCGCGCCATCGGATGGTGCTGCGGCGGAGGGCGAAGATGACCCTCTGTTCAATGCTCCGTTGAGCTCAGGAGGGTTGTGCCCGGGTATGCTGCGGACAGACCCGCCGAGCTTGAGCGAGGAGGGTGCAGCAAGCGCAGTGAGGCACCATACCGTGCAACACCCGGAGACCATCCGCAGCTTCATCAAGAGGAAGGCGGAGCTGGCGAAAGGAGTGTGCGATCATGAGTAGCCGTTGGCCACCTGGTAGAAAGACCCTGGAGCTACAACGTGCGGGCAGTACCAGAGTGCTGTTCTGGCTGGGGTGTCGCTACAGGTGTGTGTATGTGTGTTTGTGCCGTATGCGCGAGGGACACGAACGAGTAGAGCATGTGTTCTAGCGTGAGTGAGTGCTCCTGCTGCCCTGTAAGGTGGATGAAGGTTACGTAAGGATTGAGTTACGGCAGTGGGCACGTGAGTCTTCGGCACTACTTCGAATGCGCCGTTGTGTTTACCACAGTGTACATAAGGTGAATGAACCCCCCCCCATCCACTGTGTCAGTTGCGAGTGCTTTTATAGTCCAGAGCATTTATTCTGTGTTGCAAACTACACGACCTTCGGCGGACATTGACGCAACTCTTCCCCCCGACGTATTTGTACGAATTTATTGTCGTTCAACGGCTTCTTTAAGGAGACATGTGCAAATCTCTGTCACATCAGACCGGTGCAGCAACCCCGGTGTAATGGAATGCCTTCCTCTCTTTCGAAATTACGAACGTGCATGCGCGATCTTGAACTGTACCGGCTGCGATGCAGTCAATTTGTTGTCCATTTTTGATTGGTTCCCAAACATATGGAGACACGCAAATGTTTTGGCGGGCATCCTGGGGTCTGTAAGTCGGAGGGATAGAAAAAGAAAGACGCCGTTGACGAGGGGATGAACGTGAACAAACACGAAGAGCGCCGCTGGGCCCCACTTCATTTCTCGTTGTGATAAGATTCCAGCACCGCCTTGACTCGCAGCGGTGGTTCCCTCCATCTCGTCCCCGCAACAGGACGTCTCCAAAAGGTACAGGGACGACCCGAGGTACTGCGTGGCCAAGAGGGTCAGGAACCAGGTGTAGTACGACACCTCTCGAGACCTAGGATGCTTCGGAAACGGTGACCAGTGCACCTTAGGAGGCTACATGAAAAGAGACCCTGAAGGTCTTCGCCGGCACAGATGCCGATGGTACGCCGGAAGTAGTCAGGGCGTTGTTGCAGTACTATTTATCAAATAGTTGGCGCGCGCTACGTACGTCCTTTTGCTCGCACTCGTTGTTTCCGCGCTGTTTTCCTTTCATTGAGGGGATGTTTCATTTTGCTGTCGAGACAGTCAGTGCTTGAGAGAGGGGACGTATGCCACATGAGATCCATCCGTGTGGTTTTGTCTTCCGCTCTGTTTCCTTGTTTTATTTCCGTCCTTTTTACAGCTTGACAGGAGGGGGTGTAGGTCTTTGGGGTATCCATGTGGGTTTCTCCTCGTGAGCTGTCGCGGGCGCTGCGTCGTTATTGTTTTCATTTTTTGCTAGTGGAGTGTGTGTAGCCTTCGTTGTTTGATGTGGTGGAGCTTGACGTCCCCGCAAAAAGCCGACGCGGGAGGCGGGGGGGGG